GGAGGCCCGAACGCCCCTGGGTTACCACAGCTACAAGGGGGGGTTATAATTTAGGGCTAACGGGGTTTTTTTGTGCAACAACCCCTCTGTACGTTGCGTATTTGAGGGTTGTTCCTCACCCTAAGTATATTTAGGAGGTGCTATTTTTCAGATCCCATGAGACTGAGCAGGGGTGGCCCCCTGGTCACTGATACCCCTAGAAGGGGGTGGAATTCCCCTATGCTGCCCGGTTCCCCCAACCCTGTAGGGAGAAGGGGTGAGGGAGGGACCTGCTCGGCATCACCGTGAGGAGCCAGGACGATGGGGGAAGTTACACTAAGTAATTCCCCACATCTGAGAGCGGGGCTGAGGTTGGCACAGCCAGCTGGACAGGGACCACTCCTGGGGTGCTGTAAGGCAAACATTCTGCCCTGGAAGAGGCTGGTGATACCCTTCCCACTGCCAAAACGGAGTCCTGTTAAACTGGGGAGGTTTGGGACTGGTTTAAGATGACTTTCTTCATGCACTGGATTGGGACAGGGACACTTGGGTAGCGTCCAAGAAGCTGTGGCTCCTCGGAGAGGGTCACCTCCATCATTCCCATGACAGCCCTGTGCCCAGGAACTCCTTGACCATGGAGACCTGCTGAAACAGGTACCATCATCCCAGCATCCTCACAAAGCTGAAGGCTCCGGCGATGGGGGTTGAGGTGCCCCCTCCCGGAATTTGCAGGGCGGCTGGGGCTGGAGGACATGTCTCGCGGTGCAGGGGAGATGGCTGCCGGCACGACGTGCATCGCGACTTGAGACAGGAGTGGGGAGAGCTCCCAGTGCTGCCTTGAAATACTGGAGGCATCAGATGTGAATTTAGCTCTTGACCTGATTTGGATTAAATTTTAGCCTGCTTAGCCAAATTATTGAAAGAAGGAAAAAAAAAAAACCAAAACAACTCATCAGTGCTGCTGTGCCCCATGTCAGCAGGCAGGGTGGGTGTTTTTACTTGTCGGGTCTTTGTCTCATAACTTCAGAGTTTATGAAAATTAAATGGATTTTTATTCCCACTTTGGGGTTGTCGTCTGTAAACGGTCACATGGAGCTATCCCAGTGGGATGGGGGGATGGCACAAGGGGGACCTTCATGCAGTTGTGTCCTCTTGGTGTGGCCTTCTCCATCGTGTTCCCTGCCTCTCCGCAGCCTCTTTAATGAGGCAGGGCCAGGCAGGAGCCTGGGCTGCTGCGGCTGCTCACCAAGTGGACTTTTTTTACTTTATTAGTAGGGTTAACTTGTCAATAAACGAGGCTGCCAGGGAATTTAGGGAGCAGCAAGGAAATAAAACACGCAAAAAGTCAAATTTGGAGCTGAGGTTTGTCCTTTCAGATCATGAAACTCCACTGCAGAACGAATGTCAAAAGCTTCAAATTAGGGGAGAAACACACTTTTTTTTCCCCTGCAAAACCAACCAACCTCAATTTCTGCTGTTCATCTTCTGCCGCATTCACAGCCAGCACACTCTGTGGTGTCTCACCCATTTCATGCTTCTCCCTTGGCTTTTGTTTGCTAGTGGTATGTGTTTGGGGCTTGATGCTGCCGTGCTTGATTGCAGACTTTAGCTGCGAATGGGATGTAATAATGTAAAACCACATTTCTATTTATTTTTATAATCTTTTGCACCAAAAAAAACCCACAAAAACATTTTAGAGCTTGGGATGTGGTTCACTTCAAGCAGTAGTTTGTAAATTAAAGGAGTCTGCAGTTTGACAAAAACGTTGCCAAGCTTGGCAAAAGGTACCGGGCTGGAGGTCTTCACTTCTCGTATAGGTCAGCCTGGATGCACTTGTGGCACTGTTTGGCCTGGTTTGGGAGGTGAGAACATCGACACATTGAATGGTTGGGGTTCAAAGGGACCTTCAAACATCATCTAGTCCAACCCTCCTGCCTTGGGCAAGGACATCTTTCACTAGATCAGCTTGCTCAGAGCCCCGTCCAACCTGACCTTGAACGTTCCCAGGGATGGCGCATCTACCACCTCTCTGGGCAACCTGGGCCAGGGTTTCACCACCCTCATTGGAAAAAATTTCTTCCTCATATCTAGTCTAAATCTACCCTCTTTTAGCTTAAAACCATTCCCCCTTGTCCTGTCGCAACAGGCCCTGCTAAAAAGTCTGTCCCCACCTGTCTTAGAAGCCCCCTTTAAGTACTGAAAGGCCGCAACAAGGTCTCCCCGAAGCCTTCTCTTCTCCAGGCCCAATAACCCCAACTCTCTCAGCCTTTCTTCATAGCAGAGCTGTTCCAGCCCTCGGACCATTTCCGTGGCCTCCTCTGGACCCGCTCCAACAGGTCCATGTCTGTCTGGTGCTGGGGACCCCAGAGCTGGACGCAGTGCTCCAGGGGAGTCTCACCAGAGCGGAGCAGAGGGGCAGAATCCCCTCCCTCGACCTGCTGCCCACGCTGCCCAGGATACGGTTGGCCTTCTGGGCTGCGAGCGCACATTGCCAGCCGCCTCATGTCCAGCTTTTCATCCACCAGTACCCCCAAGGCCTTGAGCAGCAGGGCTGCTCTCAATCCCTTCATCCCCCAGCCTCTAGTGATACTGGGGGTTGCCCCGACCCAGGTGCACGACATTGCACTTGGCCTTGTTCAACCTCATGAGGTTTGCGTGGGCCCACTCTTCCAGCCTGTCCTGGTCCCTCTGGATGGCATCCCGTCCCTCAAGGGAATCAACTGCACCACTCAGCTTGGTGTCATCTGCAAACTTGCCGAGGTGGCGCTCAATCCCACGGTCTATGTCATTGATGAAGATATTTAATAGTATTGGTCCCAGTACAGACCCTTGAGGGACACCATTCATTACTGGTTTCCTCTTGGACATTGAGCCATTGACTGTAAGTCTTTGGACATGGCCATCCAGCCAATACCTGATCCATCTAATGGTCCATCCGTCAAACCCATCTGTCTCCAATTTTGTGGCAGGAATGTTGTGTGGGACCTTACGAAAGGCCCTACAGAAGTCCAGGTAGATGACATCCGTAGCTCTTCCCTTATCCACCAAGGCAGTCGCTCCATCATAGAAGGCCACTACCTTTGTCAGGCACAATTTCTCCTTGGTGAAGCCATGTTGGCTGTGTCTAATCACCTCCCTGCCATCCATATGTTTCGACTTGCCTGCCAGGAGGATCTGCTCCATGATCTCACCAGGCAGGATGAGATGCCTCTCTTGAAGGCAGGAGTACGAGCAGTAAGGTAGCAGCAATAATTTACCTGCAATGAGTGCTGGCTCTTTTAATAAAATGAACGGAATTTAAGCCGTTTTTGTTAAAACTAGCGCTTAGCAAAATAATGAAGGTCATCAGGATCCTGGCTTTGGGGTTGAACATGCCGCTTCTCTGAAAGACAATCTGAAAACCCAAAGCTCAAAAGCCTTTAGGAGGACACATGGAGCTGGGGAATGGGCAGGGGCTGGGGTCAGCCGTGTCACAAGTGGTGGGGCTGGATTTGACCAAGGCTTTTTGGCCAGAGATGTTAAAGAGTGGTGTGGAGGACACAGAAGAGTTGAAGATGCCCAGGAATGAAATCAGAAGGCAGCATATTTCAGAGAGAGCGGCAGAATCGCCTTGGGGGGGAACCTGGGGACAGGGCAGGAATAAAAACAAGCCGAAGGAGGACAAAGGAGCTACCAGGTGGCTTGGAAACCTTGAGGACCACTGCTTCCTTGCACCACGTAGGTGCCATGAGCCCCTTCCCTGGCTACACGGTGAAGCGTAGAGATGGGCAGGAGAGACGGGCGGGCTCGAGCTCCGTCTCCAGCTTTTGTGCAGCTGTGCTAATTAATTAGGTGCCTCAGGGAGCCCAGGGAGGTCATGCCTTGGCATGACCCGGCAGCGCTGTAGGGCTGTGGCATCTCTCTTGGCTTGGTGCTGCTGGCATCTGGGGTGACGGCATCCCTGGGGACGGGGTCAAAGCAATAGGAGCCGCAGGTTCAGCATCCAGCTGTTTCACCAGTGATGTTTTGCCCGGAAAAAGCCTTTCATCTTCAAAGCGGTTCGCAAATCATCACTAATTGCATCCGTGCAGGTGCCGGCAGGCAAATGAAGCTTAATTAGGGCGTGCAAAAGGCTCTGATCCTCTCCAGATAGGCAAGCTTTGAGTTTCTCCTCCCTTGATGTGCAGCACCCCGGGGCTGAGAGCGGGTCTGGGCTTCCATCCCACTGCCTCGCTGCCGGAGCAAGACCCGTCTGAAGGATCGTGGTGCAATGCTGGTGCCTGGCTGGGGTGGGAGGTGGAGGTTTTTCGGCTGGTTGACTTCTCACCCGTGGTTCTGGGATGTGGATAGCAGCTCCGTGTTCGTGCACGCATCTCCAGAGCCGAGCAGAGGAGCAGGCATCGGTGCCCACGTGTAACCCAAGCATCGAGCACCCCTGTTCGGCATTGAGTTGGGAAATTAAAGCCTTTCTCTGTGCTCACCCTCAGAGCATCATCCTGCCAGCTCCTCACTTCTCAAGATCCCTTGGCATCCTCACAGCACCTACGACTGTCCTCGCCTCCTGCCGCACGGATGCGACCACTCTGCCCAGCCCCAGCAGGCTTGATTTGGGATCAGCCCATCCCCAAAACCCCGTCCCCAGTGCCATACATCCTGGCACAACACCGGTGACCACAGAGCCAGCGTGGCATCAGCTCCATCCCCGGTGAGCACAGAGCCGGCATGGCATCAGCTCCATCCTTGCTGGCCCAGGGACCCCTGGCTGTCATCTCCCCATGGAGGTGACCCCGTGCTGGGTGCAGTAGCCCCCGAGGACTGAAGCGACCAGAAAGAGCCAAGCCTGGCATCGTGCTGCCCACGTTTATTTGGTCCCAGCCCTGCAGAGGTAGCACATGGCGCGGATGCGGGTCCATGCCATCTCCCACCCCTAGCCAGGGTCTCCTGGGGGTGTCAGGGTCCCCCTGAAGGGGTTTGGTCTGGCCCCCATCACCCCTCCTGCCCCACGGGGAATGGGACGGAGGGGCTCATCCGCAGCCAGACCGCTAGTGCTTGGCCATGGCGCATGCCCGGTTGGTGGCCGCCTCCACGGCGTTCATGACAGTGGCCCGCAGCGCGCCCTTCTCCAGCTGGTGCAGCGCGTGGATGGTGGTGCCTCCGGGAGTGCAGACATCTCCTCGCAGCTTCGCCGGGTGCTCCCCCGTCTCCAGCATCATCTTCGCTGCACCCTACGGGAGACCAGGGTGGGTCAGAGAGAGAGACCTCCCAAACACCCCTCTCCTTGCCCGGGGATTGGATGGCGGCATCCTCCCATCACCTACACCCTGTGGC